TTTCATGGTTGTTGTTGTGAGAGTTATTTTTGGCCAAGTGAAGAACTAGACCCTAGGATGATCTTTTCATTGTTTTAAGGCTTCCATGATGCTTAAAATGAGGAATGGTGTAGGGTAGACTAGAAGAAACAAGTGTTGGAAGCTTAAAAGCAAAGCTGAAAATTTTGGGTCAAAACCTCTAGTGGTTTGGTCAAGGTGTGGCTGGAAGAAGCAAATTTATTTTCATAAATCTAAGCCCATTTTTGAAATCTACATGAAAATCCATGTAGGAACAAGTTAAGGAGTGATTTTTAGGGTTAAAGAGAACCAAATCTAAAACTAGTGAACAAGGAGGGAACTTTATGGTTCAAGAATCATTTTGATGTATGTTCTTGCTTTTTCATGGTTGGATAATGATTCTTGCTGCCATTTTTGTTGGATCACATGGTTAGGGTTTGATATTTTCCAAGGGAAAGAGGAGAAGGAAGAAAGGCTAACACTTTTGGAACAAGGTAGTAAGTTAAACCTAGCTACTACCACTAACTGGCATTGTTGATTATTGTATGGTTAATTACTATTATTGTGGTTGAGCTTTCTTGATTGTTATATGGCTGCTCTTTATAATATCTTGCTTTGGCCTTTGCATGTTTGAGTTGCCAAATGATAAGCATGTTAGTTCACCAATAGTGGCTAATATGATCATGCATAATAATGATGCTTGCTTGGTGTTATAGTTGGTTAATTTGCTACTAGGATTTTCAAAAATCTCATCCCCCAAAAATAATGTAACATTTTAGGACCTGAATCCTCCAAGGGAAAGCTACAGATTGAAGGTTGATTTGTGGAGTTTAGCCACAAAATTTCGTGATAATATTTTGGTCATGTACATATTAAACTAACAGTGTTGGAAGCACACTGACCCTGACCGGTTCACGTGACTTTTTGATTATGGTCCCGAACGTGTTAAATTGTGAAATTTGGTATGATGAAAGATGACATCCGAAGCTTGAAATGGATAGCTAATATGTTAAAAATGGCCTAGTATACGATTTATAATGATTTTTCAAAGTTAATGGTCAGAATCTGGACATCAGGGTTTTTGGCAAATGGACAGTGTTGTTTTCTCAAAAACCTGACACTTTCTCATAAATAATTGGACAATGAGATTATTGTTCCTTGAAAGAGGACTTAAATAGCTTTAAGTATAATTTTGAACCATCCCAATTGGATTTTTGTAGAATAAGTTATGAATTTTTGAAGTTGGGCCAGAAAAACTGGATTTTTACCCGATGAACAGTAAAAATCCGAAAATTAGCATTTTTATGATAAAAAGTGAGTCCAAGACTATCCAATGTGGTCAAAAATGATTTTGAAAGGAACCTAAGTCAATATTATAGTAAGGTGTGACACTTGTGCTGCCATCAAGGTTGTGCACGGTAATGTCTACGATTATGTTGATAATTACTATAAAAAGTCATCAAAGAAAAGATTTATGCTCGCAGTATGATTCCTGTGGTGACAACAGACATGCCTCCCCCAAATGATTACTATAGGATAGGAAATGTCAGTGAGCAAATTTTCTTGCTACCTCCCATTACATCTCGACCACCAGGAGGGCCAAAAGTAAACAGGGATGAATTACAGTTCAAGAACAAACGGATATACCTATGTGAAAGATGCTACCAACCTGGACACACAAGGAGGAATTGTAGAAATCCTAACCCATAATGAAGTTTCGAGTACAGTAGGGATGTGTCTTTTTTTGGTGTACATAGTTGTATGCTCCACCCTTATCAACTTTTTTGGGACTGGGGTTGTAGTTAGGAGCTAGGTGGAGACATTTTTTTGTAAGTAAGGTGATAGAAATGTTAGTGACAAGGGAGCATTAAGTGTGGCCAGCATCTTAATGTGCACTTATCATTGAATACATGAAAGGAAGTTACTGTTATGGAGATGTTATCTTTTGTTAATGGCGAATTAGCTGTTGTCATTTTCAAATATGTTTTGGTTATTGGTAGGGATGTAATCAGCATAAGCTGACAGTTTATGTTAAACTGATGTTGTGTATGAATATCAGGTTATGCTTGTCATATTCAGATCACTTGTTGTCATTTTCAAATATGTTTTGGTCATTGGCAAGGCTGTAATCAGCATAAGCTGACAATTTATGTTAAATTGATGTTGTGTATGAATATCAGGTTATGCTTGTCATTTTTGTTGTCATATTCGGATCACCTGTCATCATTTTCAAATATGTTCTAGTCATTGGCAGGGAGATAATCAACATAAGCTAACAGTTTATGTTAAACTGATGTTGTGTATGAATATCAGGTTATGCTTGTCATTTTCGTTGTTATATTCACATTACCTGTTGTCATTTTCAGTTATAAACCATCAAGACATATTGAAGTCAAATTGAGTGACTTGAACAAGAAATGGAAACCAATAACACATATCCAATAGGCCTAATGTCATCATCTGTTTTGGTGTAGTTAAACTCAGATTCATTAATGTCACTAAGGAATAAATTGGCCCCATGCATCTCAACATTCATAAATTTATGGACACCAATCTCTATGAAGCATAAGAATATGTTAATTTTGGGTTAGCCTACCATGCACATTACATACAGTAATCTAACAGAGGACTAGTGAATTATAAGCCTAACATCGAGACACCTAGGACAGACATCTTCTCTTGGACTTTCTGCTCTTGGTTGGTTGTGGTTGTCGAATAAGAGCCAATGCCTTGTCATGTTTTTCATTCATTTCATGATTCACCAACCACCATGTCAGATCACGACAAAAGCCAGCAACTTCTTCCTCTGTGTAGGTAAGGGTCACACCAGGTTCCTATCTTCTCAGCCACATCATACAGTGCACCCCACAATCTCTCTTGTGGACACAACAATATCAACACAGTTAGTTAATGCCTTTGACATGTTCATTTACCACACAGAATTTGAATTTGACAAGATTGACAGGTTATTCTGCTGGGGAACTTCTGCAAATATCATTGGAGACATTGGCTTTTTCCTAACCAGTCCTGGCTTGACCATGTCCAATATAATATTGAACCTTTTCCTCTCCAAAAAGATTCAGGTGTGGTTCACCATGTTTCAGGACTAACATAGAAAGTTAAATGCTTTTACATGTTCAAAAACTAGGGTAAACACAATGAGTTTTTTCTTACACATTCATCCACAGCCATTTCAAGTGGGTCCTTGATGACAACCTTCTTCTTCTTCTTTCTCTCCTTAGTTCGAATTGGTCACCCATGGAGTCTAATATGTGGAAATCCAATGTGCTCAGCTGAATGGCAACGCAAAACCAGTGTTGGCCAACAAGAGCAAGACCAATTATGAAATCACATTTAGCCAAGTTGTAGCCAACGAACTCAGGAAGAAAGAGCTTCTTATATTTTTGGACTTTCCAGGCTGGGTCATGTGCCATCATGTTCTGCATGACATGAAATTGTTAATCCATTAACAGAGAACAAGTCATTTCCAGTTCCATTGTTGTCATTGGCATTTCCATTCGGAATTAAGCAATCTCACCATGAAATTCGCACCGAAGATGTGACTCTACCTTGGCCCCAATTCTGCCTTTATGTCCTCCATCACTGCCTTGCACACCAAATTAAGCACCTACAGAGGACAAGTGAAAATGTCATTCTGACACAATATTCTCACCAAACATTATCAAACATAAGCATGGGTACAGAGACAGAGCATTCTAAAATACCCTATTATTTACTCTGTTCACTCCACCCAGGGAAAACAGCTGTTGTCGGTCTATATCTTCATCAAACATTTTGATGACAGTCCTGTAAAAATTGTTAGATGTCAGTGACAAAGTTTGGTGTTGGGGACATCATCACTTGTCATCCCTATATAGTTTATTGTGATTTTCAATTCTATTGCTGTCTTTGTCAGTACACACCTTGTCATTTAAAACCAAAGGCTAACCAAGTATATACTTACATCTTCCCCTCTTCCTCTGCCTTGGGTCTACGGGATATGAAAGTAAAAAAAATGTCCCTTTCCTCCTTTGGCTTCTTTGTCCTCAGAGCTGCCTTGAACTCCATCCACGGAGATTTAATTGTGGAACTCTTTGCCCTTGTTGACCTCCTCAGCCTAGTGGATTTTTCAGGTCCTGCTTCCTCCCCACTATCACTACTGTCCCATTCACGATCCAACTGCAAAGGAACATTAGTAGGGGTTGCAGTCTTTGCATGTGTGTCTTCCTCACCCTCATCATTTGAATCCTCAACCTCCTTATCATCATCTTCCGCATCTTCAACCACATAATCATGATTGGTTTCCATGTCATCGTGGTCATCTTCCTCCTCCTCAACCACATGACCTCCTTCCCTGTCATCACGGTCATCTTCCTCCTCATCCTCATCATCATCATCATCACCTCCATGACCATCACAGTCACCCTCATCTTCCACCTCCTCAACTGTGTAATCATGACCTCCCTCCCTGTCATGAAGGTCATCTTCTTCTTCATCCTAATCCTTCTCATCATCTCCTTTGCTGGTTTCATCCTTATCAAGTTCCTTATCTCTGCTTCCCGTTGCAACCTCTCTTGCAATCTCCTCCACCACTCGGTTAACGTCTTCAGCTTCTTCAGCAACGTTACTACCTGCGTCACCAACTGTTTCACCCCCTTCTTTAACAGTGGCCTTCTCATTCCCCACTCCTTTTACTTTGGCATTCAATCCAATCTGCACTTTCATTAGCTCATCATCAAGAGCCTTTATTAATGTCCTCTAGCTTTCTTCAAGCTTCTTAATGAAACGAGCCCTCAACTCCTTCAAAGCCTGCATACACAGTAAATGAAGATATCAAAAAAGTTCATCAATGTTATCCAATGCCAGTATCTCACTGGTCATTTGCAAATAAAGTCTTGTCATCTCAAGTATCAACCTTGCTAATAGACTTATTTAGGCTCAGGTCAGGTAAATTTTCTAAATTCCCACATACCAAATCTAAAGACTGCAGAATTGGACTGTCATCATGTCCTGCTGAGTAAACCTCACCGCCACTGCTTCCATGCAATATTCCCATGCTGCTACCTCTCTCTTTCTCCACCCTCTCCTTTATCTTCTCCTTGGTCCAGTATTCAATGGGGCTCGTTGAACCCCAGTCAACAAACAATGTAGGGAATTGAAAGACGACGCGCAGCGGAAAAACTTAAAAATTTTAAAACTTTCAATCCCTTGCCCGGATCTACCGATCGCGTTTAAGTCAGGTAGTAAGAAGTATTACCTTCGGTGTTCGGTTTCCGAGTGGCTCGGTGATTCCGCCGTTCAGGATGCCTCTGCTCGCCTCCTTTATCGTTCGAAGTCGACAACTCCGGTCGGCTTCCTCTACCGGTATCCACACGAATAGCTCTCCGGTTACAGACGGCTTGCTAGCGCCCTTTTGTCCGTCTAGGGTTTTCAGAGAATCCGTCCACTCTTATCTCTCTTAGGCCGTCTCTTATCTGTTGGTACTCTCACGCTTAAAACCCTAGCTCCTCATATCAAATATATAGGATGCTATAGGTTTAATGAATAATATTTAATTTCAAAATTAACTCTAAATTAATTCCGAAATTAATACAATATCAAATATTGCCTAATCAGATAATAGAACAATTAAATAAATATGGTTTAAATTAAATCCGTCTCACAGATTTAATTCACCTATTTATTTAATAAAGAGATGACGGAATTAATTTATATATATTTAATTTATCCTTATAAATTAAATCTAACAATTAATATCTCTTATATTTATATAATATATATATATATATACACGTCCACCCTATATTATTCATTGAATCTGGACATATCTTAGATTCAATGAATCTGGATATCATAACTCGTGTTGGGCTATTTTGTGTGCGACCCTGTAGGCCCATATGAAGTTGGTAGTGGGCCATTAACTATAATAACTCACAAATCGTAAGCGGTCTCTAGCAAGACATCACGACTACCCAAATCATATGAGGATCGTTGAACGATGTAACCTTTCATACAACCATATCACGTCCCTTTTGTCACACGACATTTTGGTCATGGATGAGGCATGGAGAACGTCATCCTCCTATTCATGACCGTTACTTTCTCGATCCCTGAGTAGTCTGAGTATAGAAACGGAACTACCTTTCCATTATAGTATGGCCATACATTTCTCAGACTCACTCATCGAGGGGCCCAGTAATGTCTCTCTATGAATGTAAGGGACAAATTCCATCTTGACCATTCACATTCCTCCGCATGAAAAAAACCACTAAGCCTGAACATAGTCTTTATGATCACTCGGTCAAAAGTGACTTTTGACTAGGTCAAAGCTAAGCGTTTCTCATGTATGAATCCATGATGATCTCAGGTCAAAGGGCACAGTGACATGGTTTGTATATGATAGAAGCTTATGACTTAACCCATGCAGCTCTCTCATAGTGGGTCGGTCCAACACCTTGTACTCTTACATGTGCCTATGACTTTAATTTATATCTCTATATATCTTTAAAGTCATACTGGTCTTATTTCATCTTTGCTCCCACATAGATGACCGACCAGGGACATTTAGGATAAACTATGAGTTATCCAAGGATAGTCATCACAGTAAACATGCAAATAATATGATAACATAATTAATAAATTCATAAATTAACAATGTTCAAAACATAATGATTGGCCCTTAGGGCACAATTTCCAACAAACAATTCTAGCAGGAAACGCTTGGCAAAATATAGCTGCAAAACCAAATAAATATAGGTCACACTTCTCCAACAATAACATAAAACAAAATTATAGTGACTAGTAAAAATATTGACTTACCAACAGCAAATAGAGACAGCCTCCAACATTACAAGTTCCTTTCTTCTTCTTATTCTTTGTCATCTTTACAAAATCTCCCATTTCCTTCTATAGATTCTCGATTATGTATGTTGACCAATTATACTTCCCAAACCCATCCATCGTGTGACGCATCAGTTTCAACAAACTTAAATGTACAGTTGTGCTTGACCCAGGACATAAAAAAGCTCCAACTGTATAAAGCATAAATAGCAACTCAAAATTGTCATTTTCTGTCCCAGATAATATCCTCTCTAGTATTTGGGTAAATAGAACCTTCCAATATGTCTCCTTTAACCTCTTATATGTCGGGTCATCCTCACCAACATCAGATTTCACTTCCTCCCCACTGTCAGGTACACCTAGAAACTCATGAGCATCTTTTGCTTCAATTGCCTGCCCTTGCCCCCTAATGGTAAAAAAATGCATTGGTGGGTCATAGCATCTCAACAATAACACAAGTAGATCACGTGGAAGATGCTTCACATTCACATTAAGCAAGTTCCCAAATCTCATCCTCTCAACTTTCTGCCTTAACTGCCTGTTCTTCTTCACATACTCAACCAATGATAAAAATCTGGGCAATGAGCACCGGGTGTACAAGGGAACATCATACTTCTTCTTCTCATCTTTCTCTGCTTGGTTTTCTTTGCCCTTTCATTATACCTATGTTTCTCTTCATCACTCAGCGCCATCCATGCCTTCCCAACTTCAATTTTTTCTTCTCTTGCATTTTTACACTTCTCCCCTCGTTTTGTCATATACTCCCTTCTGAACAACGCAAGCCCACTGTGTACTCCTTTGCTCGTGGACCCTTCCCCTTCTTCCAACACCATCTCGTATAGTTCTACAAAGTCATCAAGGTACCATCATTAAGTCATAATTGTTATACATATACTAAATATCTAGTTCTTTCCAGATTCGTTATGGTCATTTCCAGTTCCTTCATTGTCATTTACAATATGGCCATTACAGACTGATAGTAAGGATGCTACTATGAATATGGTCATTTCCAGTTAATTTATTGTCATTACCAATATGCCCATTACAGACTGACAGTAAGGTCATTACTATGAATATGGTCATTTCCAATTAATTCATTATCATTACCAACATGGCCATTGCAGTCTGACAGTAAGGTCATTACTATGAATATGGTTATTTCAAGTTCTTTCATAGTCATTTACCAGTATGTTATTGTCATTTCCAATTTGTTCATATAATCTTTCCAGTCAATGAGACAGTAAGGTCATTACTATGAATATGGCCATTTTAGGTTCCTTCATAGTCATTTATTATATGTTATTGTCATTTCCAGTTCGTTCATATAATCTTTCCAATCAATTAGACAGTAGGGTCATTACTATGAATATGGTCATTTTAGGTTCCTTCATAGTCATTTACCAGTATGTTATTGTCATTTCCAGTTCATTCATATAATCTTTCCAGTCAATCAGACAATTTTCCTACTAATTTGAAAACCCATTTTTCCCTAACATCACAGTTCTCAACTTTGTTATAAAAAACAAAGAGCTTGCCACAGAGACTCAGCATAAACCCTTAATCGCCATTCCTGTCATTCACAAACTTCATCATGTCATATTTAAATATTGCCCAATCATTGCTTCCCAGACTCACCCAGAAACGTCGACCACAGCACGAAACTTAAATGTCTAAACTTAACTCGGTGAAATGTCACTGATGCTTGTTAACTGCAATGGTGAATCACCGCGCGCCAACCTTCGTCCTTCCACATAATCAGTCAGACGCGGCCACGTTCACCCTTCAAACAGCACACCATTCCACTTCGAACTCCTCTGCTCTCTTACTCACACACTATTTCGGGGTTGTCAACTGTCCAACTTGCCGGCGTTTTTAGGGCAACAATGGGGATGGTGGAAGCGAGAAACTGGGAAGCACGAGTGGGCAGTGCACGAGTGGCAGTTTGCGCCTCTCTCTCCGCTTTCAAACTCCAACTGACAGAAGGGCTTTTTGGTAATTGTTCAACATTTGCATAATCTCAAATCAAGCAACACTTCCCTATTTGGTAATACATTTACTTAGCTTCTTGTTTTGGCATTTCTCGTTTTGAGGCTTCTTTATGTGTTATTTTTTTTTTTTTTTGCCAACGGCAATAAAGACCGTGGAATCAACTTAAAAGTCGCTTTCCTTTGCGCGTTCCTTTTGCAATACCTGCCCCGCTATCCCGTCACTTGTTTTTGGGTCAAGTTCGCGTGCAGTTTGATATTTTATTAGCAGGATCGCGTCGTCGTGGAAGAGGAAAGAGATAACGCCACTGCGAACACAATGTGGCCGTTCAGCAGAAGAGGGCCTTCTGGCTTTTCATCGTCTTCCACGGCGGAGCAAGTTACTGAAGGAATCAATGGGAGTGGCCTCACTGCAATTGTCACAGGTAATCATTATATTTACTTTTGCCGGAACTGGGATTCTTCCTCCCTTTTTGGTTTTTAATTTTTATTTTCAAAATTTACTGCTCCTTATTTTCATCCTGAATCGATACAGAGGGTATTACTTTGGGCTTTTTTCTTTTTCATCCCGCGATTTGTAATCGATACAGAGGCCTGACTGTCACAGTGATTTCAATTTTTGGAAGAGAATGGAAACGCAAATCTTCTTCGTTCTTACTTGGCTTCTTCCTATAGTGCTGTCTCATTGTCTATATAACCCAACGCTCCAGAACTGGCCAACTCTTTGAACACCAAATTCTTGTTGATGCTGCTCATGCGATTCATGCCTTTTCATAAAATCCACATTTCGTCGCGTATGGGTATTGAGGAGTGTAGTATACAAGAGTCTGGCATCAAATTTTTCTTTTTCATCCCGCGATTTGTAATCGATACAGAGGCCTGACTGTCACAGTGCTATTTCAATTTTTGGAAGAGAATGGAAACGCAAATCTTCTTCGTTCTTACTTGGCTTCTTCCTATAGTGCTGTCTCATTGTCTATATAACCCAACGCTCCAGAACTGGCCAACTCTTTGAACACCAAATTCTTGTTGATGCTGCTCATGCGATTCATGCCTTTTCATAAAATCCACATTTCGTCGCGTATGGGTATTGAGGAGTGTAGTATACAAGAGTCTGGCATCAAATTTAAACAGGCCTTCTTTTCTATGAGAAAAAAATCTTTGAGGACTCACATGCCAGTGCTTTTGAGGTACTTTCTAAACTGACAATGACTAGGGCTCTGGGAGTTGATTCATTATGATTTAGCACGTGTATATTGCTTGTTTAGAACCGAGTGAATACAGCAACAGTAGTCAGAATGCTTGCTTGGGCATAACCTGATCCCCACCCGTTTTAATCATCTGGTGATGGCAGTGAATTTAGAGTTCACATGGATGTGGAAATCTCTGGATGTTAAGAATTGCTGACAGTTTCTATTCACATATCATAAACTCAGAAATCATTTTTTATTTATTTTCTTCTTGATTTTTTCATGCATGCTACTTTGAGTTCTTGCTATCAAGTGGGTGCATGTTTTCAAGCCACACGTGTCCATTGATTGCATATTTGCTGCTGCTTGTGGACATTCCGATAATATTAACAGGAGCATCCAGTGGCATTGGGACAGAGACTACACGTGTTCTTGCTTTGCGTGGTGTCCATGTGATTATGGCTGTGAGGAATATGGTTGCTGCTAAAAATGTCAAAGAAGCCATAATTAAGGAGAGACCCACAGCTCAAGTTGATGCCATGGAGTTAGATCTTAGTTCAATGGCATCTGTCCGGAAATTTGCAGCAGAATATAACTCCTCTGGTCTTCCATTGAACATCCTCGTGTAAGAAAACAAAATGGGCTGCATTGACAAAATTTATAATTCATGGCCTGTGTATCTGTAATAGATGTTTTTAATATAGTTTTCATTCTTTGAATGGAAATATTCTAATGTCTGGTTGTTTGTTGTAATTATAAGGAACAATGCAGGAATTATGGCTACCCCTTTCATGCTGTCCAATGACAATATTGAACTACAGTTTGCCACGAATTACTTGGGTACGTGAGAAACCCTTCCCTTTTCTTTGTTGTTAGCATTGATTATCTGACACTTTTTTGGTTTAAAATGTAACTATTGTTCAAAATTGCGTTGGACATTTGAGAAATAATATGCTAATGCTTCCAAATCATAATTTTTTCTCCTCAAGTTTTCCAGTCTGTGGGATAAGCGAATAACATGGAAAGGGGTCTGAAAACAGTCTAAGGGCATGTGATTTATTTCCCTCTGATTCAGATTATTAGAAAGTTAAGAAAGAGGTGATTGCTGCTATAGCAGCAAAGTCAACGAAACTTCTGTCTTGTCCCTTTCTTTTGATGTTTTGAATACATGAAATCTATGTGTATTTTTTCTGCATCAATAGTCTATCTCAACTAGTATAATGGGGTTATGTTTCTTCTGCATGTCAAAAATTTACTTTACATTCACGAAGATGCAAAGTTAGAATATTTGGAACTCATCTTAATTCAGATGTTTTGAATTTCGTATAATTTCACAGGTCATTTTCTTTTGACAAAGCTTTTGTTGGATACCATGAAGAAAACCGCAACTAAAAGCAAGAAGCAAGGAAGAATTGTTAATGTGTCTTCAGAGGCCCACCGATTTGCTTACCGTGAAGGAATTCGTTTCGATAAAATCAATGATCAGTCAAGGTAACAAATAAAAATTCCTAGGAGTGATAAATTATGCTTGATTTTGGTTTATGATTGGTGTGGCAATTCGGATCTAGATTTTTTTTTTTTTTTTAATTTCTCACATAGAATGAAAGTTCATATGATTGTTTATCTTGATTGACTGAGCAAATATTCACCCTGTATGAAGGTGCATAATATTTGTCATCCCTATATGTAGCAGCTGATAATCTTACCGAAGATATCTGATTAGATTCTCTATACAGGATATATGCTGATAAAACATATTCAGACTATGGATACTGTTGTACTTGTGCACACCTTAGTTGCATAGAGAATTGAATATTATCTGTTGAATGGAAAGGTGCAAATGTATATGGCGTTGATGTCTGATTGCCTGTGTGCAGTTATAGCAGTTGGTTGGCATATGGGCAATCAAAGCTTGCAAATATCTTACATGCCAATGAACTCGCAAGACGTTTTAAGGTATGCTGACAGCAGGCTCAGCTTGTGCAATTACGTATTTTGATATTTTGGGGAAATAGTTTATCAGTAGATTTCCTTGCTTATATTTTGATATTGCTTAAGACCAGCAGATTTAGAACCAACTGTTTCTGCTACCTCATTCGCTATGTTCTTTGTTTTCTGTGGAATTGAAATTTTTGAGGGCTACTAATGTCACATTTATTTATTTATTTATTTTGGAAGAAGTTTTTAGGGAAAATGACAAAAAAGTTATACTTAAAATTGGAAATCCCCAACTAGTCACTTGAACAATGAAAATTCCTTTTTAATCATATATGACCAATTAGGGATTTTTGTGTTCACTTAAATGACCATACTGCCTCAAGTAATTTTAAAAGAAAGAAAGAGAAGCAAGCACGGGTTAACAACTCCTTTAACGCGATTAACAATTTCTTTAACGTTATCAACAACTTTGTTATCGCTTTTAACAACAGGCTTTTTAGGGAATTAAAAAAGTGTCACTTATACAACTTCAGTGACACTGTTAACAAGGCGTGAATGATGTTAACAACTCGCGCAATGCCATTAACTACATGATCTGGGAGCTTCTTACACTTGGAGGAATTAGTCATGGCATCAGGAATGGGGAATTTTTCAGCTTCTGTAATGCGGTTAACAAGATCTTTAACACTATTAACAAATTTGTTATCGTCTTTAACAATAGTCTTTTCAAGAAATTAAAAAAGTGCCACTTTTATAACTTTCCTGGAAAATCTGCTGGTAAAGGTGATAACAAATTTGTTAATAGTGTTAAAAAACTTGTTAACCGTGTTAAAAGTGTTGTTAACCTACACCTGATTCTCGTTCTTTCTTTTAAAAATTATTCAGGGCAATATGGTTGTTTCGGTCAATTTAAAAATCCCTAATTGGTCATATATGATTAAAAAGGAATTTTCATTATTTGGGTGACTATTTGGGGATTTCCAAATTTAAGTATAATTTTTCTGTCATTTTCCCAAGTTTATATCAGTGAACAGTGCCTGTCTTGTGACTGACTGAGACAATCATGGTTATAAGGCCTTTTTGTTTTCATTTTTATTATTATTTGTTACTTTACATCAATCATGGTTCTCTGATTTGCTTCATCACCTGCCTGTGAAGTCTGATATTTATCTTTTCCTTCTTGGTCAGGAAGATGGCGTGGATATTACTGCAAATTCTCTTCATCCCGGAGCAATTGCCACTAATCTTTTCCGTCATAGCAACGTGGTGAATGGTAAATGCTATGTTATCTTCTTCATACAGAATATCATGCATAACTCACTTTTTCTTACTGAGGGCACTGAGCGCAATATGATTCTGTTCTCACATAGTTTCATCTTGAGATCTTTCCAACTAGCTAATTCCCTTTGAATTGAAAAGTTCTGTATCAAAGAAGCTAATTATTTATTGAGAATCAGTTGATAGTGTTTGTTTTCCCAACATTATTTTGGTGAACAATCTTTAAAATGGGGCATGTAATACAATTTAGCTTAGAGGCTGTGTGGGTACTTATCTTAAAATAATTAATTTTGTCCCCATTTTGCTTCAAATGGTAGTCCCAAAAAAAACAGAAAAAGAAAAAAAGAAGAAGAAGAATCTGCCACCACTCAGAAGCTGTTATTTTTTAAAGCTTGGTCAAATACTAAATTCAAAATAATTACTTTTAGATAAATAAGCAGCAGTTAGAAAAATAACAGTGAACAAAGCAGCGCCTTTGTTTGGACCAGCTTGGCCAGACTGGCAAAAGCATTACGGCCAGAGACTGTTTCTTATTTTACGATTTACAGCATCAGCAACATCAACGTAACAGTGTTAAATTTTATATATTTAAGATGAAGATAACAGTTTCTGACTTCATGGGTGTACTTCTTTTTGGTACTTACGCAGGTCTAGCTAATGTGATTGGGAGATTTGTACTTAAAAATGTCCCGCAGGTAAGTTTGCATGATCTTAAATCTAGCACCTTAATACTTATGCCTCCACAGATGGGCAATTTCTCAAAATTCATCCTTGACAGATTTTCATTCTATTTTGGTCCTTCTCAATCCGAGTTCCAAGATATATTCCAACCACTTCATAAATGGACCTCAATTCTGCTAATTTCATTCATATGGCATCATTAACTTCATTGTCACTTGACTCCAACCTTTGATGTAGGGAGCAGCAACAAACTGTTATGTGGCATTGCACCCGCAAGTTGAGGGAGTGAGTGGGAAGTATTTCTCAAATAGTAGTCTGGCAAATCCGACCCCACACGCACAGGACATGGAATTGGCAAAGAAACTCTGGGATTTTAGTATGGACTTGACTAAATAGAACACACCTTTGGTAGTTGTTGACACATGGAACAGGTAAAAGAATAAATACATATGATGCAATTGGATCTATATTATTATAGCTATACGAATCCCAAAAAGATAAAATTGTTCAAAGTTCGAAAGGAGGGATTATCATACCTACAATGCACTAGAATGAATTTCAAGACTGCATTCAACTGAGCTCTGCAATGGTATAGTGTTATAAGCTAAACTGTAAACAAAACTCCAACTTTTTTCATTTGAAAAAGGACTCATGCTTTTTAGTTATGAAACTTTTACTCTTTATTTATTTATTTTTGTGTGTGGGAATTATCTGGTTTTGGCTTGTCTGAGAGGTGGATTTCTACGCATAAGTTTGGATCTTTCAGATTATTAGAACATTCTTGTGGGAGAGTAGTTTGTGTATGGAGCATTCGATAATTTCTCACCCTGGACCCTTGTATACGAGGGAATCTAAACTAGCAATTGAGGGTGAGTTTGTTATGTGTAAGGTCTACGTGTTACACTCTGCAAACAGATAATTAAATATTAGATAATTTGGTGTGTTTAAATACAAAAAGTAAGGTAGTTAACCGTTTTACTGGAATCTAATTATAGGATGTGCTGTACCTGTCATGTAATTCTTGTTCCAATGACTTCAAGATGGGCAACTGTAATAGACGGAAGTGATTAACTTGAAAATATTTATTTAGGTGATTATGCAGATAAAATAGAACTAGATCTGTGAAAATATACTGATAAAAAACATGTAAAAGTAAAATTCTTCTTAAAGATTTTCTATTGAAATTTCCTCTTTTATGTTTATTTTAGTTACAAATGCCTTCCTCCATTTTGAAAGACAATTAGATCCCCTGGCCGATCATATTTACCAGTCGTGCACTCGTGTATTAATATTGCTTTTTAAACTTGGTTAAAGAGGTTGATTAAAACTGTTGCTCTCATTTCAAGTAGGGGAAGGGGCTATTTTGGATGTTGGATTTCGTTTCCATTTTCACCATGCTTTTTGTGCATATAAGAGCTAATAATATTTAAAAGTTACTAATCCTTAATATAATATCTATTTATCGAATCTGTACAGATTGAAAAAAATAATTAAATTAGTTATTTGTCAAAAATATGTGATAATTTTTCCAAAATGCTATCTTGAATTGTTTGGATTGAAATTATTTTTTGATATAAATTCTCCTAATATATGCAATCAATAGGGTTAGTTTGGCTAATTAAGGGAGACCAAATAAATTAGAGTTGTATTTAGGATCAAATTTAATCCTGTGCTAGTTTTTATATTAAAGACCTAAGATGGTATATTTTTTCATGAATGAATAAGTCATTTTTAAAATGAGTCTACTAAAAACGTGAACATTTTTGTGCTGAACAAATTAATGAAAAAAACAACCGCACTTATCGGAAATATTATTTGAAAAATATAAATAGCCCACTAGGAAAGTTTTATCTATTGCTTGCCGTCTTCTCTTTATTGAATGTCTTTTATCGTCTTGCTCATACTTTTATCGTTCAGATTTAATGCAATAGTTGAAATAATAAGAGATAAGGTAAATGATTAATAAATCTTAAGGATGAAAGCTATGGACAATAAAAAAAAATAAAATAAAAACTGAAAGGGAGTAACGTGCAGATTTGCAGATAGGGATTCAGAAGATTATTGTTGAATGTAATCCTCTTACTATTGTGTCCATTTTGACAGATTTTATTGTTCATAACAAGGTCAGGAACAAATTTATTAGTTTCAGAAATTTGGGATATATGGACTGAACATACATATAGGGAGGGAAATTCCAATACTTATTGGTTAGCTAATTGAAGTCGGTCCAAGGACACTGGCTTGCAGTTGCTATGGGAGCCTCTCGTGGGATTACATGATTTACTATACGGAGCTGTATTGAGCCTTACCAGGCCAAGACGAGAAATGATTGATTGGGCATCTCGCCCCATTTTTATATACAAAAAAACAAAACTCGTAAATTGGACCAGGAGAGAATAAAAATTGACCATTATAGTAATACATGTATGCATGCATGTATCATAAGAAATCTCTTTTCCCTTCAAGTCGTTGATTATACGCCAGTTACTTTCAAGGGACGCTGACAGGATGGTTTTGCCGTTGCTTGATATTCTCACAGTCATTGAAGATAAGCTCAAATAAAAAGGGGGTTTAGTCATACAGGTTGTAGAATGAAACAGACATCCTTATCTCAAATTCGTAGTAAAGGCCTAAGGGGGATGAAAGCGAAACCAGTCCATCGGAGAAATTATTATTGGCAGCCTACGAGAGACAAGAAGACAAGAAGAAACAACCCAACACATGTCTGCGCTGTCTTCACACCACAACGGTCCCCCCCGGTAAGCCTACTCAGCCCCATTAGATGAATAACTTTTTGATACTTTTTTTGTTTGTTTTTGTACCTCTTTCTTTCCTTTCTTTCTTGCAAAAAAAAAAATGTTAGATTCGAACCGTGTCAGGCCCCGAATGAGTAACGACTCTTCTAATGTAGCTTCCAACTAATAGTTTTTATACTCCAAAAAAAAATAAAAAACCTCTTTTACCTTAGGTTTAAAGCCATAAATCAATCTGCACCAACCAGCAAATAATGAGAAAAAGAAACTTGGTAGCAACCTTACAGTGGCATATTCATACATCTGGACCATACATCAGATTGTGGCAGATGGATGACAGAATGTGCTACCTGCTGAAGGTTGCTCCCACTGCGACAATAGGAGGGTACAAATATTAGGAGAACAGGGAGGGAAAAGCTGAGGGGAACCCACCTCTAAAATATCAGTATCTGTTATGAAGAACCCCACCAATGCAAAGTATTGCAGGGCATAACAGTAGAAACTCTATCAAATATGATATGCAGCTTCTTAATAATAATTCAATGGGAAAAAAAAAATCCGCATTATTGCACAGGAGATGATACAATAATCCACAGCATAAAATACCTGTACTTTGCTATTTATGTATACTTGAAAGGATCAAATGCCAAATTCTAATGCTCTATCAGAATTTAGAACCCACCGTAGTGGTCCCTACTAACTATGCGCCCCTTGCATTTCACCTAAGGCACTAACTCCTAAAGGATTTTTTTTTTCACAATGGCTATCTCTTTCATCTATTATCCATCTACTCCCATTATCACAAAGGCCGGATGACCTGTTTATGAAACAGTGTCGCTTCAGATTTGCATTTAGTAAGCTAATAATTCAGTAATGAAAACTCATTTAGCCTTGAAACCATTCTTGGTCAACGATGTGGCAAGATGTTGCAAAAGATCATCCGCAGCTGATTTATGACTGTAGCATTGGAAAGAAAGCCCAACTGTTACTTGATCTACCTTCCTTCCCATCAACCTTCTTGTTAACCCACCACTCAGAGCCATTGGAAGGATTACCAGAAACATCACACTTTGTGTTGTCAAAATTGAATTCTTTGGAAGAAGTAACAGAATGGTGCTTCTGACAGCAGTGCTCCCCTTCTCCAGGAGCTTTGTTGTCAGGCACATCATTTGAAGTCTTCCCTGAACATATATCACAATTGACGGTATCCTTTTGCATTTTTTCTGCATTAGAAGGGCCCTCAGTCAATATACCCTGTGAAGACACTGACATGTTTCGAAGCAATACCCCTGGTTTATTGGCAAGACAGCGTGCAACATCTTCCCCAGTTAATTCAAATGAGACTCTGTGGTCAACTAGTGCTGCATTTGCTTGAAATCCATTCTCTGAGTTGCCAAGTGAAGCTACCTTCGAAATCTGATTTTCAACAAAGATGCAGTCTCGAGTAGTTGGCACCATGCCATCAGGTGTCAATGACCCAGAACCCAACCTTGAATCCTGCCCCATACCATCAGGTGTCAAACAACCAGAACTTAGTCGTGACGCCAGCCCAACACCATCAGGTGTCAAAGATCCAGAACCTAGCCTTGAACCTTGCCCAACACCATCTGGGGTCAATGATCCAGATCCAAGCCTTGAATTCCATTTACGAGTAGAGAAGTTTTCAAAGCCCAATATCTTGGGTGCCTCTCCTTTGCGAAACTCAAGAAAAGGGCGTCTATCGGGGAATGGAGTAGATGTTCCAGAAGTTGAAATGGCTGATCCCGGTGATATTAGCTGAGCACCTGGGCTTCCAGGATACTGCTGGTAAGGCTGAAATTCATTATTGGATAATGTAAACTTCTGATTAGCCCTGCTATTTCCATGAGCCCGGTCCAGTGAAGATGCCAACAATTGAGCAAACGGCACCTCAGGGGATGAAGGTGTTGTCAGCTGCACAGACTCAGAAGGGGGAGTGAAAGGAGCAGTCGATGGTTCAGTTGTGAAGTTAGAAAATACTGGTGGTGAAACTAACTGTGTTTCATATGCATAAGGACCAACAGTAAACATGGAAGCAGGTCCACCAGAAGAGTAAGCATTAATTGAAAGGGCAGTGAGAGAGAGTAATCCAGCAGGCGATTGTGTAGCAGATGGAGGATCAGATTGAAGGAAAGATGCAGGAGAAGAGGGAGGCGCAATGAATGGCATTACAATGGCATTTGAAGTATTTGGTGCAGTTGTATCATCTGGGCCTGTTGGTGCAACAGGTTCAGGAACAAGAACGGCATGGCCAATTCGCTTGCTGCTTTTCTGAGATCCAAAACACCAATATAGGCTCCAGCAGCCACCCCAACGTTTTTTCTGCAATTAATTCAAGAAAAAGTAAGAAACCACAAGTTGCTAGGGAGCCAAAACATGACCTTCATCAATCACTGACAATACAATTGTTTCTCACACAAAAAAGAAGAAAGGTAAACTACACTTTTCAACAACACAAAGCCACAAACGTTGATTTTGTCCATTCAAAATATATTTATCTTGAATTTAACAGACTCAATCATTATCTAAACAATCCTGAAATGGTGAGAATCAATGTTTATGAATGAATAATCAAATAAAGATAGTCCAGCTGTTTTGTTCAAGGCAGTACAAATTGCAAAATTCTCTAAATCAAGCATCAATTTGTTTAAATATATTAGTTTGTTATTTAGGTAATTTAATTATACCGACTGCTTAATCCAAAGTAATACTGCACCATTTTGGCAACAATTATCAGTTTAAAAGTTTTTTCTCAAATATTGATTACAGGAGAGATGTCCTTTTTGGTGATGTAACAGAGACGCATTATCAGTTAGAGTAACGACAGACCAGAAACAATAAAGCGACAAATTGGAGATACGACTGAGAGAAACAACAATTTAAGAATGAAACTAAAACT